TATCTCAGTCCCAACTGACTATCTGCTCATAGCAAAATACTGCCTCGCGACACACATGCTACCTGATACTCTTATGGAAAATCATCCTCAGTGACAACCTGCAGGGTTTACCCCCAAACCCAAAACTTAAACATCTTGCCTCTCATGTTTCGTATACGAACATAAATAGCACCACCCATATCATAGAAGGTGACACCTCTATCGACTGATTGCTCAACTCAAACCGAAATTTTCCCTCCCTCTAGCTCCCTACCAAAATACTCTGAAAGGCTCTCGACCTCCCTCTTCAAGGGACGTCTCTTTGAACTCAATCATGGTCCACTGTCCTAAGGCCCATAGCGTCCAATCTCTACCTCATCAATCATGACCGGATAACTGAAGAACCACGAGCATCATTCAATACGAACCATGGTACTCGTCCCATGACATTTCTTCTCAATATGCTCCGATGTATGGTACTCGAACTATAACATCACTCCTTGATCCGCTCCGATGCATGGTACCTGAACCATAGCATCACTCCTCCATCTACTCTGATGTATGGTACTCGGACCATAACATCACTCCTCCATCTGCCCCGATGTATGGTACTCGAACCATAACATCACTCCTCCATCTGCTCCAATGTATGGTACTCGAACCATAACATCACTCCTCATTCCGCTCATTAGAACCTTCAGAATACTCCCTGTATCAAGTATGGGTCCTCTGCTTTCAGTAATACGGGACCATACTACCTGCCACATCTACCCATACTTTCCACACGGACTATCCCAGAGCTCCTAAGTAGCTGCTCGACCTTCTCGTTCACCAATTCCATCGCACGTGCTCGCTCCCCAGCGAAATTCTCTATTCTGCCAGCGCACTCATCTGGCTTAAGTTACTCCCTAGGCTCTTCCCAGATTCCCACACTTCTCTGCCATCAACTGCTGAAGAGCTCCTAACGATGCCAACCATCTACCTCCTTAATATCGTCATATTCGCTTGGTAGCTGACTCCCATCATCGAGAGTTCCACAAAGCACGAAGCAAGAAACATTCGAGCATTGAAGAATACATAGGACTCACTCTGGGTGATAACTCCACTTGCTCTGCTCATCCTCGAAAGTACCACCGAACTCTGCAACTCTTTCCATCGCGGGTTCTAACTATTCTATCGCTAAGTACCACGATACTCATCTAGGTATCTCCCCTAGATTACTCCTATACTCAAATCCCATAAAGGATTCCAACTAAATATTCTCACTCATCGCATACTCAAAAGCACATCGCATATAACAGCAATTCCTAGGCTAAAGCATCACAAATCAGGCCACTCTAGTCCTAACATATGAAATACCTAGCCTGTCTCTAGCATGCAATAATATCTCATAAAGTGCATCATAAATATCTCATAACACAAAAGTAATGGTATTTTGGGAAATCGCTGTTCGGGCTCTGGCTGATTGTACACACTGCTCTTTCTCGCTTTCTCTTTGAACTCTTATTCACTTTAGAAAATTATTTCTTTGAAAACTTTTCTAACTTCCTCAGTTTGAGTCCAGATTTACCCGAAGGTGCATCCGAATCCATCAAACCAAGGCTCTGATACCAAATTGTAACACCGTAAATTTCAAAACAAACTTTCATTTAAATATAATGGTTTAATTCTTAAAAACACTTTTCTTAAAATCTTATTCATAATCAAATTACAAAACATAACTCCATTTTCACTTGCATAATAAACCAGGATCCTCAATGTATGACTCTTTCGCTGGTGTGTACAATCAAGCCGGTGCCGTCCCGTGATCCTGAGAGAAACCTGAAACACATAACACAAAACACTATAAGCGCGAAGCTTAGTGAGTTCCCCAAATACCACATATGACACATATTAGCCACTCGAGGCTATAACTATGTGGGTCTGTGCACCCAAACTCTGTGAACCCTCAGGTTCTAACTCTGGGAACCTTCCGGTTCTAACTCTGTAAACATGCACAACATAAATCACATAGAAATAATGCAGTACAACACATAACATACATAGCATACAAATACTCTGTCACATAACTTTGGTTACCTACTCAAGGTAAGGTATAGTGAGAAGACTCACCTGGCAATCCGAAAGCAATTATCTGCACGTGCGAACCTCAGTCTCGCCACCGCCTAACACATAAGGCAAATACCTCTAATTAATACTCGAAGTCCCAACTCTAATTAACCGGCGATTACTCTTTCCTTCTCTAGTCAGGTAATAGGTAAAAGACCATTTTACCCCTCCCTGACCTCTATTACCTATGTTGACCTAAACTCTCAAAGTCAACATAAGACAACTCAAATCAACGGTCAACACTGACCAGACTCGGCGAGTACACAAGAGTGACTCGGCGAGTCCATGAGGGTTCTCTATATCCTTTTTAAACCTCTTAGACACGATGAGTTCCCTCCCACTCGTCGAGTTACTTGGCAACGAATCGCGGGGCAACCCCAAGTCGACTCGTCGACTCTGCCTATGGACTCGGCGAGTTGCTCCCACGACAACCCTCATCTGACCTTCTGAGGTCAGATCTGTTTCACCAAACCATAGATCTAACTCCCTCAAAGCCAATAACCATGAAAAGGTTGAACCTTGGGCACTCATGCAAGGTTATACAAGATCATTTGGGGTGAAACCCTCCATTACATAACAACCCTAGCTCAAAACTCCAAATAGAATGCATAAAGCAGGATGGAAGGGACTCTCTGGACCTCTTTGGGTCCAGATCTATGGCTTCACACTCAATGGGACACTATACTCCACAAATCAAGCCATAAAAGAAGCTAGAAAACCCTTAAATCACCAATCTTACCCCAAACAGAAAAGGGAGAACGATTTGATACCTATATGGTGAAGATGCAAGCTCAGAAGCTCCGAATCGACACCCCTGACCTCCATTTGCTGGAAATGACTACTCCATTGCACAACCACCTCAAGAATGCTCCAAAATGGCTCTTCTTCACTCTCTTAGCTCTCTGGTTCGATAGGAGTCTCTCCAAGGTGTAGGTAGCCGCCACTAAAGGCCATAAGGGCCTTTAAATAGGTCCTAAACCCAGAAAATTAGGGGTTTCCTTGACAGTGCCGACTCGGCTAGTCCAAATACCTGACTCGTCGAGTCCCTTCATTAAACTGGTCCCCCAAAACGCGATCCTACTCGACGAGTTAAGGCGTCTACTCGCCGAGTCTCCTCATTCCCCAATATAAATTGCTCAAATTCCCATACCTGGATATCCGGATGTTACAATTCCCCCCCACTTGAATTAGATTTCGTCCCCGAAATCACTCCTGAGCCACCCAAAACTTAAATCACTAACTCGAAGGGTACCACCGATATGATCCTCATACCGCCCGGATATCTCTCTTTAGAGACATCCAAAATCACATGGAACCTCCGAAACAAAGTCTAAACCAACACTTAAATCACTAACTCGAACGTGCCAATATGCTATGTTCTATGTGATAGTTGTAGTAGGAGGGGATAGTCCCCCGATCGGTTGTTAGGAAAGAATGGTAGGTCGGACACCCCAGATATGTCTGATAGTATGTTTATGATATGTTATTATGTGATAGTAGTAGGGGTGAAATAGTCCCCGTGACTGGGTGAGATAGACCGGAGGGTAGGCAGGCACCCTAGAATAGCCTGACATGGGTAGTTAGCACCCCATAATGGCTTGATACGGGTAGTCAGCACCCCATAATGGCTTGACATGAGTAGGTCGGGCACCCTAGAATTGCCTGACAACATGTATGATTGTATGGTATGTAGTATGATGGGGGAACTCACTAAGCTTTGTGCTTACAGTTTCAGTTTTGGTTTCAAGTACCTCTTCATCCAAAGGGAAGGAGCCGGTGGCGTAGCAGCGCATCACACACACATGATTTCCGCAATGAGTGTTCTGGGATTATACTCTAATTTATACTACTGTTCGATGTTTTGATTTTGAGACATGTTCATGATGGTTTATGGATTGATATAATATTGACAATGTTTTCAGTAAACGATTTTATAAAATACTTATTCACAAAAAAAAAAATTTGGACTCAAAATTTGGGATGTTATAGTTGGTTTTGGTAATTATTCCAGTTCCGCTTACGTCTCCAACAACCGGGTCGCGAGTAGTGCTTGTTAGCGAGGCAGCAGGCGGTGGCCTTGTCTGATCGGAAGAATACGCATGGCGGCAGCCGGACGTTGAAGGAAGGAAGGTGGAGTGGGGGTGGCGTCGTTGACAGAGAAGGGTGCTACAGCTCGACTGATCCAAGGAAGTGGCGACGATCGTCAGTTCCAGCGAGGCTAGGAGGTAGCGGCCGGAAGCTTGGAGGTATAAGGTGGCGCCTGATGATTCCTATTAGGGTTAGGGTTTCAAGAGGGTTATATGCCCGGTCCCCATGAAACATTACCCCATAATGACAACATTAGCCCTCCTTCTCCATTTTCTTTCAAAATGAATCCATAACTTACCATTTAAACAATGCTTTCTGAAATCCTTTACAAATCAAGTCCGAAATTTTACCAAGTAGCCCCTTAGCCTCCAAAATCTCTTCAAATTAAGTCCCAATAACATACCAAGTAGTCCCTGCCTGCATAAATATTTACGAAACCAATCCGAAACTTACACTTTTAACCCCCAACTTCTAAAATTGTGACAGTTAGCTCCTTGAGACCAACACCTTGCTATATAATTATTGATTTTAGAGCTACTGTTCATATTAATTTTATCTATTTATTTATTTATTTAACGAGGTGTTACACACACACAGAGAGAATGTAGGATAGGTAGGCAATTTATTTTTATTTTATATAAGAAAATAAATAAATAACTGGAAAAAATAAAGCATAGATATTGTGGATAAGGACCAAATCTACAAGCTGATAACTTATTGGACCAAATCCAAAGAAAATAAAAAGCCAAGGACCAATTTACAATTTTTTTAAATAACAAAGAAAAAAAAAAAAGATGTAGTTGCATCATTTTTCCAAAACAGAAGGACGAACAGTATCGATCTTAGCAATTTCAAGGGTTCACATGTTAAGTTCATTTCTCGTCCAAGCCAAATTCTGGTAAACCCCTGATTTCCCACGACGGAGATTGTATAGTTGACACTTGATAGAACTAAACATGGCGATTGCTGCTCTCTTTCAGTGTTTTATGCATCAGTAAGATGACTAGAAAGCACACCAGACCTCCAATGGAGCTCGATCTAGACGCCTTCTTGCAATCACACGACACCATGGGCAGTGACGATGATGATCAGCACCACGGCAGCACCGTCGATGAACTTCTCCTCATCGACTCTGATGAGTCTTCTCCTTCGTCGTCTCCCCGATCGTACCCTATTTCGCATGACGTAAGTAGCCCCCAAAGCAACACTAATCCAGTTGATGCCAGTTACTCTGATTCCTCGCGATTAACACCTCCCCAATTAGTAAACGATAGAGATAGACAATCAAAGTTTCGTTCAATTAGTCAAATAAATTCAGGCGACACTTTCAGTGTTTCACGACAATTGCCTCCGTTATTCGGTGCCGTTAGGTCGAATGCTAAGCCTGGGGCTGCCCTTGCAGCCGCTGCAGCAGCTTCGCGGTCGATTCCGACCCCACATGCGGCTGCCATTAAATTAAGAAGGGAGAAGTCTAGTAATGAAAGCTTGGATCCGAAGGCCAGTATTGGTTCTGAATTATGCTATGAAAGTGGCACAGGTTCAGAAATTAGTCATTCAGATGCGAAATTATTCGAGGAAGATCTTAAACTGGAGAATTTAGAAACCGCGCCAGTAGAATCCACTGGAAGTTTTGAAGCCAGTGGGGAAGTAAATGCTGGAGATGGAAGTAGGAATGGGTGGAGAATTACTGATGAAGATTTCCCATGTGAGGAGATGAATACAGATGTGGCTAAAGCCTCCGAAGTGGATAGTTTTGCACTTGAGTTTGGTGATGATACTCGTAGTTCTGCTGCTAAACCACAGATTAGCTCTCCTTTGAATAATGAGGATGGGTTTAACAGCACCACGTCAGTTTTAGATAGCAGGAGCAATGAGCTCATTGAAGGCAACCATACGGAATCTGCACATATTTCTACCTTATCTATAGCGGAAATGTTCCCTTTTTCCCATGAGCACGTGAATGCTAAAGAGGTTGAGGTATCATCAGAAGGTACAAAACTCCATGAAAATAATGTGGAATTTGGCCTCCAATCAGAAGGGGACGACATGCCAGCACAAAGTGATGTTTCTGTTGGCATGGACAGTATTCTCCATCAAGAAAATGAAAAGAATGATGGAAGGACACAAGCATTGAAGCCCCTTCAATTTGCTGAGGAGCTTGAAAAGAAGCATGCTTTTACTGGTTTGCATTGGGAAGAAGGTGCAGCTGCTCAACCAATGAAACTTGAGGGTGTTCACAGAGGATCAACTGTGTTGGGATACTTCAGTGTCAGTACTGATAACACCATCACCAGGACAATATCTTCTCCAGCATTTAGGCGAGATCATGGAACCCCACAAGCACTAGCAGTTCATCTTAACTACATTGCAGTGGGAATGTCGAGAGGGGTGATTGTTGTTATTCCCAGCAAATACTCTCCACATTATGCTGATAACATGGATGCCAAGGTTCCATTTACATTTACATGACTCTTCTTGTGTGTATCAACCTTACCATCTAAAAATAACCTTTTATATTTCAGATGTTAATGCTTGGATTACAAGGTGATAGATCTTATGCCCCAGTCACATCCATGTCCTTCAACCAGCATGGAGACCTCCTTTTTGCAGGATATGCTGATGGGCATTACACTGTTTGGGATGTCCAGAGGGCCTCTGCTGCAAAAATTGTCACTGAACATAAAGCTCCAGTAGTACACATGCTATATCTGGGGGTGGATTCTCAAGTGGCTCGTCATTTCAACATAGTTAGTGGTGATAGTAAAGGTGTGGTTAAGTTGATTCGCTTTTCTTCATCGTCATTTTTCAATAGGTTCTCAACTTCTAAAACCTTGGTAAATCCCTTACCTCTTGTCTGTATGTACTTGATTTATGTCTATCATGCCTAACTGTTATCAATCAAAATAGACACTTCTTGATGAAGCAACAAGCACGGTTGTTTGCGCTTCACCCCTACTATCAGAAGAAAGTTCCGGAGGTTCTTCCAGCATTCCAGGAGACTCGACTTTGGGTGAAGAAGGTGTGGTCATATTTGTCACTCATCAATCTGCTCTAGTGGTATGGGTTGACAAAAGACTACATGCATTGCATTGCATAGTGCATACCATATCTTATTGGTCTTTTTGTAACAATAGTAGCTTTGTAATTTATAGGCAAAAGTCATTTCCAACACCCCAGAAGTTTATGCTCAACTTCCTAGGCCTGATGGGGTCCGCGAGGGTTCGATGCCTTATACTGCTTGGAAATACATAGCCCCTTCACGTGTTGGTATGTTAATACAAATGGACCATATTTGAATCTTTTTTGGCGATATCATATGATGATACTTTACTTTCTTTCAGTTTCAGATAACGTACAGTTAAAAGAATCCGAAACTGCTCCACTCCTTGCAATTGCTTGGGATCACAACGTACAGGTTGCAAAATTGGTCAAGTCAGAACTAAAAATACATGCAAAATGGAGCCTCGAGAGTTCAGCAATCGGGGTGGCTTGGCTGGATGATCAGGTAGTTTTTTTTTTTTTTTTTTTTTTTTTTTCTTAGGACAAACATCAGTTTGTTTGCCCATACTCATGAACAAAGATGTTAATCATAGATGTTAATGGTGCTGACATCAGCTGGACGGCTGTGTCTGTATGCAAATGACGGGAGTTTAATTCATGACACAAGTTTTGGTGTTGATGGAGGGAAGAGAGGAGATGATGTGATTGGACATCACACCCATTTCAGCAATGTAGAAAAAGCTCATCACAATTGTATAGCTGTGAGGGGGGCTTCTTTATATCTTCTTGGGTCCACACATCTTGTGGTGTCCCGCCTTCTCCCGTGGAAAGAACGCATAGAAGTTTTACGAAAAGGTGGTGACTGGATGGGCGCTTTCAACATGGCAATGATGCTGTATGATGGTCAAGCCCATGGTGTGTTTGACCTTCCTAGAGCATTGGAAGATGTGCAAAAGACGATAATGCCCTACATGGCTGAGTTGCTGTTAGCGTATGTAGATGTGGTTTTTTCTTACATATCAGTGGCATTAGGCAACCAAAAAGAAAAGATGGATTCGGAGGGTGATGGTGTCTCTGTGATAAAAGACCAGTACACACGTGTAGGTGGTGTTGCAGTTGAATTCTGTGTCCACATCAACAGAACTGACATCCTCTTTGACCAAATTTTATCCCGGTTTGAATCTGTTCAACAAAAAGGTACATCATTCATTATGCATAAAGTCTTTTTCCATTTTTTTATTTGATCTTTATTCTTTCAATTTTAAGTAGTTGGGGTTCACGTTTTTGACTATCAAGTTTCTGGCTCTGGCTTAATATATAGTATCATGCAGTTTTTAACTTTTTATATTTAGAGTGAAACTGCAATTTTTTTCCCTGAGTATAGATTTTCTTTTTGCAATTTTGGTCCTTATTTGAGGTTTTTGTAACGGTATTGCTCCCTGCTCTAAGAAAATCTGCTATGTTCAGGGACCATAAATAAATAGTCATTTTACTTGGAATAGAAGAACCTCAAATAAGGACAACATTTGCAAGAGAAAACTTTTTTTGGGATCAAAATTGCCTCTCATATGTATGTATATTACTCTTCTGTTTTCAGAGACATTTTTGGAGCTTTTGGAGCCATATATTTTGAAGGACATGCTTGGATCACTACCACCCGAGGTATTTCTTGTTTATATCATTTGTATGCTTTTATCTAAGTTCAGGCATCATGAAAAATGTTATTTCTGTGAGATATTTTTTTAACTTAAACACCTATTTTTTCTATTATTGAAGATTATGCAAGCACTAGTGGAACATTATAGCACAAAGGGCTGGCTACAGCGTGTTGAACAATGTGTTCTCCACATGGACATATCTTCCTTAGACTTCAATCAGGTATACATTCATGATCACTCTCATAAATCTTCACAGCTATTATTATTTTTTTTATTCTCTAACCCTAATATACTCATCCATAAAAATACTCACACTCTGACTTGGTCAAGTATGTATTTGCTAGGTAGATTTTAATATATAAAATTGATGGATTTTCTTATTACTGTCAGTTTTGAACTTGTATGTCAGGTGGTGAGGTTATGCCAGGAACACAATTTATACGGGGCCCTCATATATTTGTTCAATAAAGGTTTAGATGATTTCAAGACACCTTTAGAGGAGCTTCTGCGGGTATTTAGAAACAGTGATAGTGAGAATGCTCCATCTCTTGGGTATGTCAGTTTTACATTCATGAAATATCATCATTTCTAAATTCAAATTTTCACTCATGCCTTAGCGCTTTTGTAAACAGGTACAGGATGCTAGTTTACTTGAAATACTGCTTTTCAGGCCTTGCTTTTCCTCCAGGTATGCTTTCTTACCTAACAGATAACATATTAGAAGGCTTTACTACTTTTTTTTTTTTTTCTTAATTAAAAATGTATTTTCAGGACATGGGTCTCTTTCCCCTGCACGCTTGCCTTCTCTTAGAATGGAGCTTATAGACTTCTTACTAGAACATTCTGATGCTCCAAGCACATGGGGGTTGACAAACTTATCATCAACAGAAGCATATAAGAATCTCTATCATCTCCTAGAATTGGACACTGAAGCAACATTGGATGTTTTGAGATGTGCGTTTATCGATTCAACACCAAAGGATTCTAGATCTCAAAGTCAAGATCTGATCCAAAAGACTGTAGATGTTCTTGCTCTTGTTATCAAAACAGGCAAAGCTATTAGCACATGGCCTTCAAAGGATGATACAGGTCGTATACTTGAGTTTATTTCTCATTTTGTGGCCTGTGGAGAGGCTAAAATCTCAAAGAAATTACTAGGTCAGATTTTCGAGTATTTGACATTAGATGCTAGCATTCCGCTGAATCTTGAAAGCAAAAATAACGATATTTGTAAAAAAAGAGAAAAAGAGGTCCTAGCACTTTTGGAAGTTGTCCCAGAGACAGATTGGGATGATAGATACTTGTTAGACATGTGTGAAAAAGCTCACTTTTACCAGGTTCTAACCATTCTCTTTCTCTCTCTCTCTCTCTCTCTCTCTCTCTCTCTCTCTCTCTCACACACACACACAAAGAGGAATACAATTTGTGCCTAACAGTTGAGTTCATGTATTGATATAGGTTTGTGGCTTCATTCATAACAGCAAACACCAATATATAGCTGCTATTGATAGCTTTATGAAAGATGTGGATGAGCCAATTCATGTTTTCTCCTATATCAGTAATTTATTGCAACAAAACAACGACAAGAGGCCTGATTCTTTGGAGGCTGTAGTCATTTCACGAATCCCACATTTAGTACAATTAAGCAGGTTTGCTGTTTTTCTAGTTTTAGGGCCTTTTTTTTTTTTTTGGTTTCTAGATCAAGTCCTGTTAACCTTAAGTGGCTGAGTGGGTAATGATGTTTGTCTGGAAAAAATGCTGTATACTTAAGGCTGTTAACCTTATAGACTGAATAAACCTATGGAATGAGAGAAAATGATCATTTTATCCTTACATTTGAAAAACAATTTTTATCATTATTCATCGATCTAATGTGAGAGGAATTGGGAGGAAAAAATGACAAATAAGTAAAGGCCTAAAGGGTGCCAAATTTTTTGGCTTAACCCATTGAGCCCTAAGCAAAAAAGGAACAACCCCATAAATATAATGCTAGAAAAGTTTCCTAATTATATGTTATGACAAACTTTTGCAGAGAGGGGACAGTTTTTCTAGTTGTCCAACATCTTTTTCAAGAATTCCAACAAATCTTACTGGAGCTTAAGTCTCACCCGAAAAGTCTCTTCCTCTACCTTAAAACAGTTATTGAAGTTCATTCAAAGGGCACCCTCAACTTCAGTTCTCTAACAAAAGCTGAACCAAGGGTAGACAATCAGACTGACAGACTACATGATTTCTTAGAAAAAATCTCCGACTTCCCAAAGTTTGTACGTGAAAATCCACTTCACATAACTGATGAAATCACTGAGATGTATCTTGAGGTAATTGACCTTTTTTTTTTTTTTTTTTTAAATTACATTTTTGGTCCTCGAGTATAGTTGATTTTTGCAATTTACGTCCTTATTTGAGGTTCTTGTAACTTTTTTTATTTTATTCGTATTTCAAATAAAACAACAATTTTGGTCCCTGAGTAAGTGAGTAAAGCTGATTTTTGCAGTTTTGGTCACAAATATTTGGATCAGAAATGTAATTTACTTTTTTTATAATTTTACAATGTTGGATCTGAAGTAGGGTGCCTTTTTCTTGTGCAGTTGCTGTGTGAGTATGAACCCAAATCTGTCCTGAATTTCCTTGAGACATGTGAAAGCTATAGGGTAGACCATTGTCTACGGTTGTGTCAAGAATACAGGATCATAGATGCTGCTGCTTTTTTATTAGAAAGAGTTGGAGATGTTGGAACTGCTCTTTCATTCACACTTTCTGATCTCATGGACAAATTTCACATGCTTGATGCTGTTGTTCAAAGTGTATATGATCTCAATGCAATCATGAAGAAGAAGGAGGTCCATTGCATTTTACATTATTCTTATTATTATTATTATTATTATTATATATATATATATATATATATACATATATATATATATATATATATATATATATATATATATATTCGGCAATAATAAATTCGTTAATTGTAGGTAAATGACATACTATATGTTGTGTATACTTGTGTCGGACTGTGCCAAAGAAACAGCTCCCGCTTGGATCCCAATGAGTCCGAGGCCCTCTGGTTTCAATTGCTGGACACGTAAGCCCATACACACAGTTTTAGATATCTTCCCACACCACATGGTGATATAATAATGAGTAACTGATTTTTGCAATTTGGGTCTGTATTTGAGGTTCTTGTACAGTTTTGATCCTTGTTTCAAGTAAAAATGATTTTGGTAGCAAAATATAGTCATCTATCTTACTTGGAGCAGGGACTAAAAACCTCAAATAATTGCAAGAGAAAACTTTTGGGGAGCAAAATAAAAAAAAAAAAAAAAAAAAAAAAAACAGAGACCAAAAATGTAATTTGTGGTGTGTTAATTGAATTGCAGATTTTGTGAACCTTTAACAAATCCAAATCCAGGCGGAGGTGGAGATAATAAGGATTGTGGAAGTAAGTCAAAGTGGAAGATCAAAGGGTGTGATGAAGGTGGTGACATATTGAGAAAATTGTTTTCTATTTTTATTAAAGAGATTGTTGAGGGAATGATAGGATATGTCCGGTTACCAACCGTCATGATGAAACTTCTCTCCGATAACGGTCACCAAGAATTTGGTGATTTTAAGGCTACTATACTTGGAATGCTTGGAACATATGATTTCGAAAGAAGAATTTTGGTAACCTTTTATTCAATTTACATTTTTGGCCCCTGAGTATAGCTGATTTTTTCAATTTTGATCCCAAAATGTTCTCTTCCAGTTTTGGTCCTTGAGCTTTTTGTAACATTTCCCAAGTGAAATGGCTATAGACTAGATTACATGTTTGGTCACTGAGCAAATCTGTTTTCAATTTTGGTCCTAAAAAAGTCTTGCAATGTTGGTCCTTATTTGAACGTTTTGTTCCTACTTTTGGTCCTGATTTTTGCAACATTGCTCCCAAATAGTCATTCGACTTGGAACAGGGAGGGACCCAAAACGTTACAAATAAGGACCTAAATTGCTAGAAAAAACCTTTTGGTATAAAAATTGACAAAAAAAAAAAAAAAAAAAAAAGAGACCAAAAATGTAATGTACTCGTGACTATATTTTTTGGGACCAAAGTTGCTAAAGTCAGGTATAGTGAGGCGAGGACCAAAAAGAAGCTTAAATGCTTTTTGGGACCAAAATGGGAAAAATGTAATATGTACTAATAAATCCATGATTACACCAGGACACTGCAAAATCTTTGATTGAAGACGATACGTATTATACAATGCGGTTACTTAAAAGGGGAGCTTCTCATGGGCATGGCCCACAAAGCCTTCTTTGTTGCATATGTAACTGTCTACTTACTAAAGACACTTCTGCCTCTGGAATTCGAGTGTACAACTGTGGCCATGCAAGCCATTTGCATTGTGCTCCACCGGGGACAGGGTCACGTACAGGTAGAGGTGGAGGTGGTTGTCCCATTTGTATGCCAAAAAATAAGGGGATAAGGTCGTCTACAACTAACAATTATGACGTTGGCTTAGTGAGTAGGCCTTTATCTAAAAACAAGTCTTCGCAGGGGATTGGTGGGGTCCATCTACACCCACACCTACACGAGACCGATCCACTTGATCGTCAAATATCAAGGGTGAGTGCAGTGGGTACAGATACAGATACTGATACTGATATTGATACTCACATACTTTGTTTTGTTCTAACAGTATGAGATATTGAGTAATCTTCATAAAGAGAAAGAGAAGAGGACGATGGTCCAAGTGGATAACATTCCACAGTTGAGACTTGCACCACCGGCTGTTTATCATGAAAAGGTGAAGAAAGGAGTTGGTATGTTGAGAGTCGGAGAAAGCAGCGATGGAATTGGAAGTCAGAAAAATACACAAATTAAAGACCTCAAAAAAACTAAGGGATCCGGTGTGCGGTTTCCCCTAAAATCAAACATATTTGGTATGTTTCTTTTGTAGTCTGTCTGTTTTATTATACGTAGACATCTTTTTTTTTTTTTTTTTTTTTTTTTTTTTTTTCCTTTAACGTTCATTGGTTTGCTTTTTTAGGTAAGGAAAAGACCAGCAGAAGGTGACATGCTTAACTGCTGTTGCATAAGTTATATCTAACATAAACATAAAGTCGAGCAAGCAGGCAATCTGACACATATGTTTCACCCCGGGATATTGATTTTGTTGTATATCGTTTTTGTAGTCTTCATTTGTAAAAGTGTGTCTAGTCTAATGTATACTGTATAGAGCGTAGGCATGTTTAGTTTCTTTATTGTGGTGTGAATTGTGATTGACATGTATAATAATATTACAACTTAATTCCGACAGGACACCATTAAACAATTTTGCATATCCACTTTGTCTTTGTAATATATTTAAAATATCTTCTCTATATGTAGTGACAAAGAACATGGTTTGACATGCGGAATTAAAGATTGCACAACTGAACATGATGATTTGGGTGTTCAAGAGATGTATTGATTGTATATGGTGTTACAAAAAGGATTCAAATCTAGACTACATAAATAACACATACTTACACATTCAACTTTTACATCTCTCAAGCACATCTCTACAAATGGACAAATCCACCTTGTATAGAGGTGTTTACATATCTCTCTCTCACTACCACATGGGTCTAAAGGCTAATGCACCACATGCAAGTGGGTTTTACAAAAATCAAACATATACAAAGTCAATCATGAATAACTTTGCATCCCAACATTCTCCTCCTCAAAGTTAGGAATGAATGACCCACTTCAAATCATCCAAAATCGAGCAACTACGTAGTTCGAGCTTCAAAGGTGACACATCTTGAAACAAACTTCAATCTTCAATTCTTCCATGATTCTTCAATTTGGGCTCTAGGATGTGAGACTATACAAACCGAGCAGCAACGAATGATTAACTCCAAATAATCACTCTAAAGTTGCGCATAAAAACACACCCCAAAAATATTCAATAAAACCAAACCCATTTCGAATATATCATTTCCGAACTTCCAATTGCATCATCTCGTAGACTTCAAAACTTCAAGATCACTTCGGTCTTCAAATCCGCGTAATATGAAAAATTCAAGTTCGAATTTTCATATAAAATGTCTCCTCCTTTTTATAATCGAAATTTGATTATAAAACTCCAAAGGAAAAAGAACGTGCTCTATTTGGAATTTTTCGTGTGGACATAAACTTTGTGCTTCAATCCGGAAAATCCAAAAAATAATCAATTTTTATCTTCGTTCACAGATCGCCTTTGACAAAAAGTTTATCAAAAATGGGTAGAAATTGTCAATTTCAAAATTCTGCAGTGACCCATTGCGCCCAAAACAACAAAATATGCAAAACTCTCTCCCTTTTCCAAATCTGGGTAAAAAACGTCAATTTGCACAAATTGCATGGGCCTGAAATGCACTTTCTTCAATTTTTTAGCAAAACCAGTCCTTTTTCGAATTTAGGTGCAAAATGCCAAAAATTCGAAGCCTTAGGGACCATTTTTGAAAATTCTGCTCTTTGTGCCCAATTGATACGAAGCATCCCCAAAATATAGGAAGCACCAAAAATGTTTTCGAATTTGGGTGAAAAGTGTCAAACATACGAAACTTGAGTTAATTTTCGAAGTGACAAAAATTCGAAGGTTCACGGGTCAAATTCAAAACTTTCCATTTTATTTCAATTCATACGAACTACACAAAGTGTGACATCCCCAAAATCTCGGTCAGAAAAGACCGATTTCATTTATGTTTTTTAAAATAATTTTCAGAGTAAATCCTTTTGATTTGAAAGAGTTGCGGAATTTGTTCCCAAAAACAAAACATGATAAAACAATGTTTACCGAAGCATTTCATAAAAGAAATGTATTTTCATTATAATCAAAACTCGGGGTGTCATGTTCCGATACAGACCAATAAGCATAAACGAATACATTACAAGTCATATAACAAATATAAACATATGCAGACTTGTAAACAAATCAACTTTATGGTTCATCCATCTCATGCCCTTCCGCCACTTCCTGTAATACAATTTAAAACTGAGTGGGTCAGGCTTGGGAGCCTGGTGAGCATATAGGGTTTTCAACCCACAATAAATAATTAAATTAATTATTATCAACCAACAATAACCCAGTTACTCATTCTCGTTATTCTCACTTTACGTCTCTAAAATAACTAACACAAGGGACCTAATCTAAGAATATTTTCATCGGGGTCACAACACATGTTGCGGGGTTTCCTCAGCAATATAAGTCAAATAAGGCAACCATGAGGGGGATGAAATACAACGAATGAACACCCAAGTTCATTAACACCTACAGGTTATGAGCCTGCTAGCGTTCCACTGGACTGTCTAGAAAAGTCCGTGGTCGTCATCTAAATTCCGCTAGATGACTGAATCAAAACAACAACGAGGCCTCTCATCTGTTTATTACACACCAACTATCTACCCATGTTCTACCCAACATATTAGTAGATAAAAACATACCTTTTTATACATATTTTCAAAACCTGTATAGCATGCTTGATCAATACATTTTCCATATAACAGATGAGGCACACACACATAACACGTATTTCGTATAGAAATAATCAGATCTGTAAGATAGAAGAAAGTGAATATACATTCACACACATAACAACAAAATATACACATAACACGTATCTCGTATAAAATACTTCATAGTTATACGTTATGAGAAAGTAACAACGCATTCACACGTATAAACGACAATAAACTTAATACCCTCGAACCATACTTGTATTATTATTGCGTTTATGAAAGGTAGTATACACTCACTTGATCAGAAGATGATCGGACAGCACTACGGCTTGCAAAAGTCGTAATCCTCAGCAGATCTGGAAGATCTCTACGAAAATCGAACTTCTCGCGGGCAGAGCTTCGGCTCGGGAACCGCACTTCTCGGGATCTTCGGGATCTCGGGACTCGCTTCGGGACTCGGGAATATTACCGGGGCTTCGGGATGGCTTCGGGGGTAAAACCGCAGAGCTTCGGCACAAAAACGAGAGGAAATTAGCAATTAAACCCGGACCCCTCGCATCCTATTTATAGGAGGCTGGAAGCCTCTCGTACGCGGGGAGTACGCCAGTACGCGGGGCATACTGGTCCGAAAAACGTCATCGCTTACGTATCCGAAGCCACTTGCTGCGATGTCGACACTTTCGGAGTACGCGGGGCGTACTCACTTACGCGGCGCGTAAGTCGGATCAGACCTGTGACTCGCATTATCCAATGCTTCCGAATTTTGATTTAAAAATAAATACAAATTAATTAATAAACTTCGGAAATTCATATCTTCTTCATACGAACTCCGTTTTCGACGTTCTTTATATCCACGGAAAGGTGAGACTACGCTCTACAACTTTCGTTTAGAATCTGTTGGCTGATTTTGACTTTATTTTTATTATTTATTTTTAATAGGCCGGGACAGAAAATTTCGTTATAAATTCATAACTTCTTCGTTTGACGTCCGTTCTCGCCTAACTTTTTATCGCTTTGATACTAACAACGAGATCTTCAATTCTCGTTTAGATCACTAAGGCTAAATATCGCTTTAACGTAAATTTCAATTTTTACGTTATTCAGCGTTGCCGGTTCTGTCGCGAAACTTCGACAGGTCATAACTTCCTCGTTATAACTCGGATTTCAGCATTCTTTATATCTCCGGAAACCTTGTTTCAACTACTACAACATTATCTAAAGATATCAAGTTTATTATACACTTAAAATTTGACGCTTATTTTTATTCTTAATTAATCAAACCACATAATTAAGCAATTAAACACAAAACATATAATACTCAAATAATACACTTATATTATTTCAAAACGGGTTACAAAGGTTAACCTAGACCATTACATTGATAAAAAATGGCAAGCCCGGAAACACAGACGTTACACAAAGCCTCAGTTATGAACAGTAACTTCTTCGTATGAATTTTTTTTTCAAAGAATCAAAGTCAAAATACACCCTTCGTTCAAATCCTTTATACCCCTTCGAATAAAGATCATTTTATCATATCCTTCGTATAACCCAAAACATAGTCTTCGATCATTCAATCCTTCGTTCAAATTCTCAATACCAGCTTCGTATATCATTAACTAAAAAAATACCCTTTGAATCACCTGCTTCGATCAAAACAAATTCCCCTTCGTTTAAAACCAACACAAACACCATCGATCATTCATTCACAGCCCCAAACCAAATCACGATTTCATGCGAATTTCTTATACCCCTTCGCTAAAACGAAATTAGACAGTATGTAGCAACAAAAAACAATCCTTCGTTTCTCAAGCTTTCATTCATCCATTTGATTCGTTCATATAATTCCCAAATACCCTTCGACTTCCAATTACCATTCCTTCGAATCCAGTAAAATCATTCTAAATTAGAATCAAAATTCTTCCCAAAATCGACTATCCTAGTAGATACGAAATCAATCGAATATAATTTGACTTCAAGAAGTCGACTGAAAAGTGATTTCGCATTCACACTCAAAATACATTCCATTAATCAGTTCTAACTAACAATACTTAAATCGAAATCTTAACCAACAGAATCACGATACTTGAAACAAACAGTTCAATCGATTGTTACAACATCGATCAAAGTCAAACTCATTTGATTTCAATCAACGCAAACCAATTCTTCCGACCTCTATTGTTTAACGTGAACCAAACTTTGAATATCGACCACCGATCTCAGATGAACAATTTCCAAATTTGATTCCAAATTTGATTCAGGTGATAAAATCGATCAAATATAAGAATGACTTAATTTTGCTTGGATTGAATTGAGTGTTGGCAATGAGAACGAATACAGATAATTGACACGAAGAAGAATAGTACTTGGATTAGGTCATGATTTGGGCTCAAAGAGATCATGAACAGTAACAATGTATTTTACATTTGGACTCAAATAAGTAAATCATGAACAGTAACATGATTTTATTTGATTGGGCTTTCAATCAAATAATATTAATTGATTTTGGACTATAAAAATATACAATAATAATAAAACTACTTCCCGAGACTCCTGTTTTATTTATTAATTACTCCATTAAAAATCGGGATGTTACATTTAATCAATAATTTCTATATTTACGCTGAAAAACAATAACATACTATAACAAATTTTCAACTTAAACGACAACTATATACAATTTTCCAAGTTATACGACAAGTATACAAACAATTTTTAACTTTCAAATTAAATAAAATAACATATTCTAACCATACTATAACAATTTTTCAGCTTAAACGATAATTATATACAAATTTTCAAGTTATACGACAAATATACAAACGACTATTGTAAACATTATTATAACCATTTTTCAAGTTATA